ATTGTGGAGATTGATTTTTGATTGATCATTGTGGATACCTTCATTACAAATCTTATAAGCTCTTAAATTCCACAATCAAGAACAACCAGATCATAAGGATACAATTATTTTATAAACATTTTGTCCCGCAGGCGATGATTTAGCGGTTAGAGCAAGTAACTTGTGTTAATTGATCATAGTTCGAATTTCATTGCCAACGATCAATGAGTCGAGCTTGTCACACATGGTTAGTCTATTGTGGTTTATATCTCCCGTATGATTTGCAAGCTATTATACAATAGCGTAGGTTTGTGAGACCGATTTTGAAAATCGGCTGAATTCAGTGCTCGATCTCAAGCATTGTGTGAAAATATCAGAGACGTGATCGTGCAGGAATTTGAAATCGGCGTCGCGATTACACCTCTCCACAACCCTTTTCGCCCTTTCGATCCTCTTCCGGTGGCAGACAATGGCTCGTAGATTTCCGGTGGACTGAGAAGAGTTTGGGTTGATTGTGCAATGGTGAGACTGACTAAGAGCTTTCTTGATACGATCAACAAATAATAGATCAAATTCTTTCAATGATTTGAGAATAACATCCACAATAATTTCAGAGGACTAAAAGAAAAATTGTCAAAAAGCTGCAATTTTTTTTTGCATACAAACTACAAAAATTCAATCAAGAACAACCAGATTTTGGTACTCTTCCCCAGAAATGGCAGCATCCATAACAGCCTCAGGATTCAAAACTCCACCATCTTCCAAAAACAACTTCATCAAATTCTTCGAAAACCCACTCACCAAAGCAACTCCCGGCTGGTTCCCGGGCACCGGCGTAGCCATCGAATCCCTCAAATTCCAAAACACAATCTCCGGCACACATTCTCCATAACCTCTCTCCTTAAACTTCCTCACAATCGCCTCGTAATCAGTCTCCCATGGAGTTCCCGAGGCCTGATCGAATTCCATGTCACTAAACACAAACAACCTCTTAATCATCTGATCAGCCTTCAATCTCCCATCCACAGCAACTTTGAGCAACAAATCGAACACCTTCTGAAAATCAGTATTCATCCCCCAATCCATATTTCTCACAAACTCCGTCTTCTCGCGCAAACTCTCGCCCTCAACCGATTGAAGCATTGGATTCTCGCTGAACGTTATGAGTTTCCCCTTCCACGGGCTTTCGCTCAGTTCGGAGACCAAAACTCCGAGTGCGACCGATACTTCCATCGGAATTCCGCTCATACTCCCCGAAACATCACAGATAGCAAGGCAATTGTTCATCTTCCCCTTCTTCCCCATGTCGTCCACCATTCTCTTCCACTGAAGCTCCGCCACCTGGCCGCCATCGCCGTGCTCGAGGGCGGAGATTATCTCGTGCGGGAGCAACGCACCGGCGGCAATCTTGGCTTCGCCGGACTTCACTTTCTCGAGATACTCCTGGAATCTTTCCTTGTCGTGCTTCAAGAACTTCTCCTTGTAGAATTTCATGGCGACCGATGCGACCCTGTTGTAAGGAATGGAACCCCAGTCGTTGGCTCCGATGAAAGACTCCGGCAATTCGAGAGCCTTACGGAGTGGCACGATCACCTCCTTCCTCAATCGATCCCTCACTCGATACGCGTAGTGAGCCTCTTCAACTCCTTCGTACTCCGGATATTCCTCTCTAGGAAAAACTTTCTTCGCAATGGTTTCGCAGAGGAGCGTGTATTTATCGAATGACGAATCGAGGGAGGGGCACCATTTTGCGGCGAGGCTGATTTTGTACAGATCCCCTGAATTCAACAGAATCATGTCCGATCTTAAGCAACGTGCGAAAAAGTTAGAGACACGATCGTGCAGGAATTTGAAATCGGGATCGCGATTGAACCTATCCACAACCCTTTTCGCCCTCTCAATCTTCTTCTCCTCACGGCTCAATTTCGAGTCAGTTACATCGGATTTGCCGACGGCGGCGGCGGCGGTGAACCGTCCTCTGCTAGAAAAGCGGCCGCGAAGAGACCTCCTCCCTCTTTTCACACCCTTCCTACTCTCCCACGATTCCTTCGCCAATTTTCGTGCATCGGCACCTTCCAGAAGGCGGAAGAGGATCTCCGGCAGATCCTTGAAGTAACCAAATTCAGCAATGGAAGCCACGTTGCACGCTAGGGTTTTGGGGTGATGCTTGTGCAGCCAGAGTACGGCGGTGTAGTAACCTTCCTTGTCGGATTTTCCGGTGCCCCGGACTCCACGGAGATTGCAGACGAGCTTCAGGGCCTTCAACGGATCTTGACCCCAGGCAAACATGGATTACCCGTCGAAAGAAAAGTCGGAGAGAAATTCTCCGTCAGGCCCATTGGTGGACTGTAGAGTTTTGTGGTGTTAAAGTTAGCCACCATAAGGTCAACGAATGGATCAGTCTCGGTGTTGCCTGTGGCGGCGGCGGCGCCGATTTGCTGATAAATTTCCGGTGGACCGAGAAGAATTGGAGTTGATTGCGCCATTGTTGAGAGTGACTGACAGCTATTTGTGAAATTGCTTATGAGAATTGGTGAGGTGAAGTGGTGAACTCTATCGATCAATTTATAGTCGGCGGAAGGGTGCAAATTTGGGACGGACTCCCCATTAATAGAGGAAAAACGGATTCCACTTACTTAATGACATGTGGAAAATTAAATTAATATTAGTTAATAAATAATCTTGATGGGACCCAATTTAAAATTAAAATTCTTTGGGCGAAAGAAACAGACTGTATATTTTCTCTTTGTTTCTATCTCTTTTTTTCTTGAGATAAAAAGGGAAAATTACAGTTTATGTCCCTAAACTTTACCACTAAAACGATTTATGTCCTCAAACATTTCAATCCACGAAATATGTCCTCAAACTTGCCACTTTTGATCACTTTATGTTCTGCCGTTAACGTCGGCAGCTAACTTCGACGGAAATAGCACGCGTGGCTCACGTGACGTCTATGTGGCCGTTAAATGTCGAGTTGTACAACACCCAGTGCCTACTTGGCTGACAAAATGTGATGTGGAGCGACACGTCATTCTCCTCCCCTATTTCTATTCTAAAATCCCTAATTCTCCAAAAACCCATTTCGAAAATTGCAGAATTGTCTTCTCAAGTTTTTGAATCCTTAGCTTGTGTATATATATAACAAATCAGAAATTATGTGTTTTATTAAAGTACGGGAGTGTTTCCTGGAGGGCGGGCAGGACTAGGTCGCGATGCGCATTGGTGCACCATAGCTTGGAGGTGACGAACAGTTCGCCGCGGCTCTTGATCAGGCCGCCGCCCAATGCCTCCGCAGCGGCGCGGCCAACAATTTCTTCCGTGCCGCAGATCGCTGCCGAGTCGAAGTGGCGGTATCCGGCGGCACTGGCCCCGACGAGGAGTTGTACCAGCTATTCCGCTGGTACCGCGGAGGCGGCAAATGCCCCAGTCCCGAAGCCTATGGCCGGCATCTTGGTCGGAGTTCAATTCCACTTCTGGAACTTGTACTGTATCCATTAATTTCTCAAATTCGAAGTTGATTAAATATATAACTGGAGAAATTCACCTCAATTGAAGGATTCAAAATGGGGTTTTGGAGAATTAGGGATTTTAGAATAAAAATAGGGGAGAAGAATGACGTGTCGCTCCACATCACGTTTTGTCAGCCAAGTAGGCACTGGGTGTTGTACAACTCGACATTTAACGGCCACAGAGACGTCACGTGAGCCACGCGTGCTATTTCCGTCGAAGTTAGCTGCCGACGTTAACGGCAGAACATAAAGTGATCAAAAGTGGCAAGTTTGAGGACATATTTCGTGGATTGAAATGTTTGAGGACATAAATCGTTTTAGTGGTAAAGTTTAGGGACATAAATTGTAATTTTCCCAGATAAAAAAAATAATTTCCTTAGATTATCAATTACCAAAATTTTTAAATATTCTTTTATTTAATTTTTTTGAAAATAATTTCTTTTATTTAAATTGGAATATTCAAGTGTGAGTCTTATGATCCCACGTGTTTTTTTTTTATATATTTCTAAAATCCCTAAAGGTTAACCCAAATGGGAAAATATATAATACGTAATTAAATATACACGTAACAGTACCCAATATTTATCATCGGGTGTAGGATGGAAAGAACCCTGATTGTGCGCAACAAAAATATTTTATTAAGAATTATGCTAATTAAAAATAAATAATGCAAAACTAATATGTGAAGCATGACAAAGGTGAACAAATTTTTTAATTAACAAAAAGATAAAGAAAAGTAAAAGGACAAATAGGATAAGTATTTCTATTTTAAAAAAATGGTTTGAAATGTAACGAGTGATGACAGTGTAATTCTTAATTCTTTTGTACAGGTGTCATTCAATTAATGGACTCCGTTTATCACTTATTAACGGAGAGTCCGTTTATAATTTAATCTCTCGGCGGAATTACTTGAAGGCCACGCACATATCTTTATTTTATTTTTATTTTTTATTATTTTTATTTTTAATACTAAAATACTTTTCTCACTAAATTAAAAGAAAATTACTGTAGATTGAAATTATAATCTATAATCAATAATCATTCAATTCACTGAAAATTAAATTTAAAGAAAATTACCGGGGATTGAAATTATAAATACTTCCCAATTTTTTTAAGACCAATAGAAACTAAAACGAACTTAATGAAAAATAAACACAACGATAATTAAATATTCGATGAAATAAAACTTCATTAAAATTAAATAAAAATTATCTACAGAATACATATTTTTAAGGTTTACCAAAAACTTTTCCAGCAAGAACAGCAGCTTTGATAGCATTATCAATGGATTTGATAACTTCATCAGTATCACAAGTATTCCCTTTGAATGAGGGTGCACCAGATCTCTTGTACACGTCCACACACTTGAGAAATTCTTTGTTGCACTGCTGGCTCAAGTAATCATCTGCACCGCACAATTAACAATTTAGTCTTTGTTCGAATTTTAAATTGTAATAATTAACAGTAAAACATGCTAATTAAGTTGAAATAGCAACAACTGTAATTATATAAGTGCATGTTTACGCCGACAGGCTGTTCTCTGTCATTTTCCGTGAGTGTTGCCTTGTGATAAGCGACAGATCCACGTTTAGCTACTGTGTAAACAAATCGAATCGAGCTCGAACTTCATAACTTATCGAATAAAAAAACATGCATATATACAAGCTTAGTTCGTAATTGTGTTAACAAATCGAACTCAAACGAGCTTTTAACGAACAATCTCAAATTGAATATATCAACTAGTTTAATTTAATTTCCATCCCTATCCTAGTTGAATCAATTCGGAGCTAAAATCATTCTTGTTTGTTTGACATGGATCAACAAAACTAGTTTAATCTCTTTATGTTTTTCGAATAAAGCGATTAAAGTAAATTAATGGATGATGATCTGCTTTATTAAAATAACTTACTATTCATTTTGGCAATACACTGATCATGATGCATACAGCACGAGTCCAATCGGTCACAAGGCTGCTCACCGGGGCAGCCGGTGTATAACAGGCCGCAGTATTTTCCATATCTCAAAAATGGCGGAGCTGCAAATTGCAATTTCATCGTAAACTAATTTCATAATTTAATTGCTAATTCAAATACCACAAAATCGAAGGGGAAAAAAAAAGTGAACAAACAGAGTATATATACCTTCACAGAACATTGATTCGCACTTTCTACTGCACTGTTTAAACTATTTGAAGAAAAAAAAATTGATGTTACATATGAACAGATTAATAATTAATTAAGAAGAGATTAATGTTAAAATGTAAATGATGATTAATAAATAAAGAGTAGGTAATTACCAAGCTAAGGTCTGCATGTGCGTGAAGACCAATGTTGAGAGAATGGACATTTACAGAAGAAAAGCCAAAGATGAAGATGATGACGGAAGCAATCATCATATGATTCAATCGAAGTACGACTGGATTTGCTAACTTCAATGTGTAGTACGCCATTGATCGAAGGAGAGAAGTAATTGAAATATATATATAGTTTTTAATTTAATTTTCTGGATATTTGAAATAAATTCTGTATTTGCTGAGAAGCACTGATTTATAGGGAGAATTGGTTGGTCGGTTCAAGCACGGAAAGTGTGATGAAGAAGAAGAAGAAGAAGGGGCGGGGTGGGGGTGGGGGTGGGGGTGGGGCCGGGGGTGGTTTTGGATTGTAACGAACCCGTGACATGTTTTTGTTGTGTTGTTTCACAATTCTCACACAATCATTTATCTTTTTCGATTTTTTTTTATTACATATAGTATTTCATATTGCATATGGCTACTTGTGCAATGGGTTTTGTCTCGTCGATCACATGATTTACAGTTTGTACCTATGTTCCTTTTTTAAGTCCGGAGGCGAATGCACAAGAGGGTCCTATATGATTTTTTTTTTATTTTTTTTTTTATAAATTAATAAAGATTTGAGAAATGTTGGAGGGGGTCATGGCCCCCGTCCGACTCGGAATATCTCTTTTGTACAATAGATATAGCTAACATACAATAGTTGTCACTAGATTTAGGCCTTGTCATTGCTTGTAAAATGCCAACCCATAAAATAGAACCAAGAAAAATATTATATATTCTGAGATATTTACCAAGATATTTTTTCAAAGTACTGGAGAGAGAGAGAGAGAGAGACAAGCGGTTCGTCTGGAGAGAGAGATAATTTTCTTTTTTCTAGATTTAAATAAAAATGGAATATTGTGGCTGCAGAATCTCGAAATTTTAGTTATATTTGCACAAAACCCCCTTCACGAAATACATTTTTTTTTTAATGTTTGTTACCATTTGCAATTTATTTATATTGCTTCCGAAAGAAAAAAATAATTCATATTTTTTAAATATTATTATTTTCATTTTTAAATTATTTCCCAAAACATTGTATTGTGTAGGAATTGGGCATAGCCCAGTTTTAATTTATACGACCAGCCCAAGTCAATTCCACTGGTCTCCCTATAGTTTAGTTTTATATGATTAGCCCAAGTAAGTTCTCAAACTGGAACTCTTCTTCTTCCAAAATTGGGCCGAAATCAAATCTTGGATTTTTCTATTCCAATTGAATATAGTGACACACGCCTTATTCCACATTTTTCTATTCCAATTGAATTTTGAATTCCACCGGAATTTCCATTCCAATTTTAATTTTGAATCTTAAAAGGACCAAATACTGGAATTTTCTATTCCAATTTTAAAATTCTGTTTTCATAATTGTAATTGAAAATGACAAATAATAATTAAAAAAATATTATTCTAACCCAAAAACCAGAAATAATTTGGGAAGGAGTGAGTGTTGTTCCCGCGCAATTCAGGTTTGTTGCCCTCATCATTGGAATCTCGGATCGATCAAAGCATCTTCAGCCGCAATTCTGCACAGACAAAGGTGCGTGACTTTTTGAATAATGTTTTCTGCCTTTATTAATTATTTTTTTTAATGGACTGATTTATTTTCTGGAGCTGATTGTTGCGTTGTGAAATTGATCCATGGAGAGTGATTTTGTCGATTGGGTCTTACGTAATTGATTTGAAATTGAGGATTAGGAGATGATAACTAGTGACACAGACAATAAACCTTAATCATTAGTTTGGCAAATTGATAAGGTTATCATGCGAGTTCTGTTCTTTGATGTATACATAGTGCATTTTTTTATAGATCTGGCGTGGAAGATGAATATTTATTATGTCGGCTCAAAAATGAAAAAAAGTCAAATTGTGATTGATGTTTTATGTGTAGGATTCCCATTTAACTTTGTCGAAAATAATCGTTTTCATCTTTATATCATATCAATGTTCTTAATTGCCTAATTCTTGGTGTTTGACAATGTTGCGTAAGACTGTTTTTTCGGTACCATAAGATAATATATATTTCCGAAAGTACTGCTGCTAATTGAATCAAGAACTTATCGTAACTTTCAGTAGGGTGTTTAATTTCTTATTCGAAACACGGTTTAGAAATATCTTTTGCTTAATGATAGTTTATGATATAGTTGCGTGCCTTTTCGCATCCTGTTACAAGAGTTTCCATGCTTGGCCTCCGTTCATGTTGAACTTTTTGAGACGACCGAAGAACATGACTATGATTAGGACTATTTTACCCTTGTCACTCCATTTTCCAGAAAATCCATACCATTTGTTCACGCAGTTTGGATCCGGCCTTATCTGACGCTCGCAACTGTATCCAGTTGTGAAGCCAACATTTCCGTATGCACTGCAATTATAAAAATATATATAGAAGCGATTAATCAGTCTGTTATATTTATACTTTTAAAGATGCATTGAGCAGTTGTTCTGTAATTAATATAGAAATCATTTAGACGGTAAAACAGATTTATTAACTGTGTATCCTAGTTCAGTACTTCATAGTTCGTTTTGTTTCTTCAAAGGTTAGTTTAGGCAAAAGTCGAAAAGTATGTAGCAGGAATATATAAGTGCAAAGGAAAGTTCAAGGTGATTTGGAGAATCTTTACGCATGGGTATTTCATTTTTTCGTTTCTGGGAATATTAGCAGAGTTATTCTATGTCAAAACAGACACCTGTCGAATCTTTTTCGTAAAGCAACAAATTAAATAAGCAGATAGATAATAGGAATTTTGTTTTAAAGAATCTAAGCAATCGAATACCACTTAAGATGGCATATGCTTTGTTGCATAGTCTGTCTGTTGAGATACGAATTTTAATTTTTATCATGTCTTTCTCTGTTGTTTACTTGTGTTTTTTCGGAAAGTATGGGTTGTGAATTCAAGTGGCATTACTGCTTCAGTGATGATAAATAAAAGTAATTACTTAATTAATATTTTTTTTTTAACATTACCTTATGACTTCGACTGTGATATTCAAGACGCTGAAGTTGACGGGATCCTCTTTAAGGCTTTTCCTCTCTGTGAGGCATATGATAATAATGAAAATAACAAGATAAGAAAGCTGCGATAATACGAGGTTTTCTGCAGCTGTTTTTCTTCGTTTCTTTCTTATTACAGACTCTAGTGGGGTTTCCTCATCCTTCGTAATAGGTAGAAATGAAGTATATGGTGGAAGGTACCTGTCAAATTTTATCAAAATTATTATTACCAGGATAATATACATGGCAATCATATGAGAGAGAGAGAGAGAGAGAGAGAGAGAGAGAGAGAGAGAGAGAGAGAGAGAGAGAGAGAGAGAGAGAGAGAGAGAGAGAGAGAGAGAGAGAGAGAGAGAGAGAGAGAGAGAGACTAACATCATGACCACGAAAAACACCGTTACTGCCGGGGAAATTATCGAGAGATCAACTATAGTTTCACCGCTGTGTCTTGCGTTCACACACTGAAAAAGGATTCCCACAATTTTCTGGTAAGTATTCAGCCCCGACAAAGCCGCTGAATTCCATTCCAGAGAGGAGAATATTACGAAGCCGAGTATTGTAAATCCGAATACTGTAGCTGCTAGGAGAACAGAGTGCTGACTAGGAAACAAGTGAAGATAAACTGATGATTTCGACGTAGTATCATTCTCCAGTAAATAATTCGCCTCTGCCTTCTTAATTTTCTTCCCCAAAACCCATATCACAAATCTCAAACACGAAGGAAACAGTGTGTTCCCAAGTAGGATTTGTGGGATTAAAATCCATAGTAGGCCCGAATTCTTGATAAACACCACCATGTTTTCGTTTGTCGGCACAAACCCACAGTTGGCAAAAGTTGACACAACTGTAAAAACCGCAAACATGAATTTCTTAAGTCCCTTGTTTCTTAGTACATCCTCTGCACTCGAAACAAGGCCTAGGTAGAGTAAAACAGAGGAGATGCCAAGAATGTGGATCACTACAAGATACCCTAAAACCACGTGACCTAAAAACTTGATAGAGTCGTATTTTAGAAACGGGTTAGTGGAATACTCAAAACGGGTAGGTTCACTTTCTATAGACTCGATTTTTCTTCCGTCGAAATTACATGTTCCGATAATCTTGGACCTCTTTAAGAGAAGCTCAACCATGGAGGTGAATACCTCACCACCCATGAACATGAGAATAGTTATAACGATTAGTTGTGAGGTGGAGAAGACCTCCATTTCGACTGTGGACATGCTTGACACAGTGGCGGATGACACTGATGTGAAGAGCAAATCGAGGTTCCTAGGTTTAAACGAGGTTCTGGGCTTCAAACCCGTAAGAATTCCAAAACCCACAAAGGAAATGGAGGAGAAATAGAATGTATATAACAAGAAAGGTTTGAGTTTGGCAAGAAAATCGTGGTAAGAACAACAGATGAGAAACCTTGTCCTTTGCAAAGAACATGCATAGTTCTTCATGTTTACACACACGCAGATTCTTTTTTCGTTTCTTTTTTTTTTTTGGCAGTGAAGCATGGATTATTAGAATGGGGGTATATATAGGGTTTAGTCATTTCCGAAGTTCGATGAAAATTGTGTTTTTTTTTTTTTAAATTATTATTAGTGCACTGTAATTAACTTTATTTGATGCCTTTGTAGATGTTACTAGGTACTCCTACAAAATTGGATATGAAAATACTGTTCCATATTTGATCAGACAACGCACATTTTACCCGTCAAAATTTAACCATCGGCTGCGTGGCAATGTGGGTGTTGTTAACGTGTGATTGGTGGTAGCAAGCTGAATGAAATTTTCGTTCCGTCCATATCATTTTATTTTATTTTTAATTGCCTTCCGATATGATTCTTTTCATTTTGATTCCAAAATTCCAATTTCCATTTTTCTTAAACTTTTGTGTTCTCAAAATCTGTAAAGTTTCTAGAGAGATTCTCATTTCATATAAATTTTTAATTTTGTTCTGATTTTTTTTCTTCTTCTTTCAAATATTACATGCATGATGCATATATACATGTCACGTATTCATCATGACATTCTCGTACATATATAATCGATGACCTCATCAACATATACGTAGCTACGGTCAGTGAAATACAAGATAAAATATCAACATATACGTGGCTACGTGCATATATATACGTTATGTTATACATAATTGTCGATAGGATTTGGCGAAAAGTCGAATTTAAATTGGAAAGTGTGAGGAATCCATTATGATGAGAAAGAACCCGAAACTGAAATTGAGAGACAAGCTTCTTCGTATGGAATTACAAAAATAGTAAGTTGTTCTTCTTCCTCACTGAAGAGTCCTATCTGCTAACCAACTTTCTTGTCGGAAACAAGTCTAAGTGATTATCAAATCACACACTCTGTTTGCTTTAACATACACTTCTGTCAAATAGTTTGACAACATCTATTTTCATATTGGCAGAATAACATTTTTTTTTTTGGTCCCTATGGTCTTGTCATCACAATCATATCATTAATTTAGTATGATGATAATTGATTACAAAAAGAAATTCATTGGGGGGATTGGGAATAAAATATTGTAAGTTATGTGTCACAAGTTCGAAAAAAATCTAATTTGTGTCGTTTAAAACTTTTTGATTCCTCGCTCTCTTTCTTGTTCGTTCGATCAACTGAGCCAGCTCTTACGGGTGGATCAAAAAGTCGTGTTTTTTTTTAATTTTTTTATCCTTCCATGAATTCTTTACAAAGTTCGAATTCTTTGATGTGAATTGATCCTTCCATGAGGTCTATATCATGATATCAAATCACAGATATTATATGGTCGTTATAGCTAATGCTAACCTAAGATTAGAGTTTAATTAATTTTAACCCTAGTTCACTGTGCTTTTGCACGAGCTGATTGTTTGTCCCCCAGTATTTAAAAATAATAATAATAAAGCACTATGATTAGCTAGTTTAATTTGAGAGCTAGTTTGACTCATTAGGGTCAATTGAAGGAGTATATGTTCATTACTAATATTAATCTCTAATGACTATATATAATAATAATTAAGTAATTAATTTATTAATTACAATTTACAATTAAAATAAGTTACTACAATAGTTTCCATGCTTGACCTCCATTCATATTGAACTTTTTGAGTCTACCAAAAAACATGACTATGATTAGAATCACTTTACCCTCATCGCTCCATTTTCCGGAAAACCCATACCATTTATCCACACAGTTCGGATCCGGGCTAACCTTACGCCCGCAGCTATACCCGGTTGTGAAACCCACATTCCCGTAGGCGCTGCGATTATTCCAATTTTTTTTTAAAACATTTAATAATTTTTACACATATATAAACAATTGTAGAAGGATTTAAATAATTAACATTTCGGTTAATTATATTAGTTAGTTAGTTAGTTACCTTACGACTTCGACTATGATATTTAAGACGCTGAAGTTGATAGGATCATCTTTAAGGCTTTTCCTCTCCGTAATGCATATGAGAATGATGAAGATAACGATATAAGAAAGCTGCGAAAAAACGAGGTTTTCTGCTGACGTTTTTCTTTTTTGATTCCTTATTATTTCAGGGTTTTGTTGCTGGTCGTCATCCCTCTTGATTATAGGTAGAAATGAAGTATATGGAGGAAGGTACCTGTCAAAAGCCGTTAATTAATTAATTAATATGATTAGAATCATTATTAATATACCAAGATAATGTGTATTACTAATAAAACCTAATTATTAATTACTCCATATACAAGAAAATAATACAGCAAACAATTATGTCAGTACTTGATATAAAAAATTACTAATGATTGGGGATGAACATGGTATGAGAATCCAGTACTGCATAAGTGACATTCAATTATTGCCATATTAAACTGATCACTCCATATATATTTTATGAACATATATAAATTGTTTAATTATATTCCTTCAAACAATTAATGTTATCTAGTGTATATATATATATATATATATATATATATATATATATATATATATATATATATATATATATATATATATATATATAAAGTTGTTTAAGACAAAATGTTTACATACAGATTGCGCATGACTTGATCATAAACTAATATTCTGCATGGTTTCACACCCTAATATATAGGATTAATTGCAATATCGTGCGAGATGAAATTCTGAACGGATCAGCCGATATTTAATATAAATTGGATTTCACTTATTTTTTGACATATGACACTCCTAAGTCTAAACTCTTAATAATTTACGCTGATTATAATTAGGGTTAAACGGGTTACAGATTATGCTGTTTTTTTTCCCCTTTTTTCCAATTATTAAAATTCTAATTATATTTTTATTTAAACTATCCACGTGTCAATCATCATATGACATCCAATTTTCCTATTAAAACAGGTCATTCGGTCTAAATTTGCACCCTTATCCTACTTGTATATGTTTATATTATTTTAATGCCAAGTTGTCCTATTGTCACTAGAAGGATTATGCGTGTGTGTGAGAGATATATAGAGATGGATAGATAGATAGATAGATATAGATAGACAGACATAGAAAAACTAACATCATGACGACGAAAAACACCAAAACCGCCGGAGCAACCGTAGAGAGGTCGACAATAGTCTCGCCGGTATGCCTGGCATTGACACACTGGAAAAGCACACCCACAACTTTCCGGTAACCACTCAGCCCACCCAACGCCGCCGAATCCCACTCGAGAGAGCAGAACATCAAGAACCCAACCAAAACAAACCCCACCACCGTGGCCGCCACCAGCACAGAATGCAGACCAGGAAGCAAGTGCAGGTACCCCACCTCCGCCGCATTCTTCATCAAAAACTCTGCCTCCGCCTTCTTAACCTTCCTCCCGAGAACCCATATCGTAAATCTCAAGCACGAAGGAAACAACGTGTTCCCGAGCAGAATCTGTGGAATCAGAATCCACATCAACCCAGAATTCTCTCTAAACACAATCATGTTTTCGTTCGTCGGTAGAAACCCGCAGCTCGCAAACGTCGAAACCACCGTAAAAACAGCAAACGTCGCCGTTTTGATCCCCTTCTTTCGAATCACATTTCCCGCGCTTTCGACGACGCTTAGATACAGTAGAACAGAAGCCAACCCTAGAAACTGTATCACCAGAAGATAACCCAACACCACATACCCTAAAAACTTTATAGAATCATATTTTAGAAATGTATTATTACTATTATTATAATATGAATAGTTTAATACGTTGTGGCGCGAGTCGAACCGAGTTAACCCAGATTCGAGTACCTCGGCGATACTCAAGTCGATTTGATCGAAAGAATATTCCGCCGGAATCGGCGAGGTGGGCCCGCTTTCTACCGACTCGACTCTACCCTCGCTCTTCCATCTAGTGATGTTCTTGGAGTACGTGTGAGTGAAATGAAGGCCCACCATGGAAGTGAAAACCTCGCCGCCGAGGAACATCAAGACGGTAATAACGAGTAGCTGTGAGTTGGAGAAAACCTCCATCTCCACGGTGGACATGGACGAGACGGTGGCGACGGAGACCGACGTGAAGAATAAATCTAGGGTTTTGGGTGCGAATAATGCGGCGGTTCTTGGCTTCAATGCGTTGAGAATTCCGAAACCGGCAAACGAGAGAGATGAGAAATAGAGAATGCGTGTGGAGAATGGGTTGAAGAAATGGAAGATGTGTATCAAGAATGGGTTGAGTGTGAAGAGGAGATAGCTGTAAGAGCAGCGGAGGAACAACCTCGTCAGCTGCCATGAATCACTGCACAGGTTTTTCACTTTCTTTACGTAGTTACTACCCAAGTTATCCATCTCTCTCTCTCTCACACACACACACTCACTCACTGTGTATTTGATTTGTGTGGTTTTGAATTTGGATCAGTGGGTATATATATATATATATATATATATATATATATATATATATATATATATATAGAGAGAGAGAGAGAGAGAGAGAGAGAGAGGACGTAGGCATGGTGTGCCACGTTCATTGTTCCTAGGTACCAACAAATTTAAATATTACAATATTAGATTTAGAGGCACTTAGATAAATTTAATATTACACTATTAGAAGGAATTAGATATATACTACAACTGATTATATACACTCAGTGTTTATTTATTGTAGATGATGTTAAATAACTACCAATTAAGCAGATATACACATGAGTGTGTGTGATTATATGTAACACTAGAGACGTTTAACAAACACTTGATATGTAAATAATAAAATGTAACATTTAATGCTATTTTTGTTGTGAATCTGCTATGAACGGAAATTTTGCCGAGGCGAGTTGTCTCTGTCCTTAAGACGAAATTTCCCCGCAACGGTGCTAACGGATGTACTTTGTGTAGAACTTTTCGAGAGAATCTGTAAAGGGAAGGCTGAATATGCAGTAGGCTTTTATTTGGATTGAAGTGAGGAATCCTGGGAATGTTAGGGTCTATTTATAAGGTTTGAAAAGTAGTGTCCTTTGGGGCAAAAAGGTACCTTTTGTTTGAATGGTTGCACCATTTCGAATGGAGCCAATTGGGAGTAATAGTTGCACCATTTCGGGTTGAGCCTGAATGGTTTGCATTGGTTCGGCCGTTCGGCCGCACCAATTCAGACCAGTCAGATCAATCGAGATGGGCTTCGACTGAATGGGTTAAAGCCCATGACCTAATGTTTTTGGCCCAAAAATTTAATGTAGTGATTTGGGCCCGAGCCCAAATCCAAATCCAAATCCGATCCATACATACATACATACGTACGTACGTACGTACGAACGAACGAACGAGCGAGCCGAGCCGGCCGGCCGGTCGGTCGGACGGACGGCGGCGGCGGCGCGCGTGTGTGGGCACGATTTGAAACATATAACATATAGGCCTTTCTCCCAAACAAAGTTGATGCCCAAAGGGCGTGACCCTTGTCCCCATATTTTGATATAAATACAGCTCAGTACTTCTCTACTTTTCCAATGTGGGATAACTTAAATCCCACTTTCCTTATATT